AGGATATTATTTGTGTTAATTTGGGGGAAAGCCCCACCAAAAATATTTCTCTATATATTGGTTCTGGGTACATGTGATCTATATGTAAGTATAGAAAAGGAACTCTAAACATGCACAGGAAACTCAAGACCATGAGTAATATGAAGAAGTGGAAAGACAGTGTTGATTCTATGGATGCTAAGCTTTATACACCATGTTTTATTCCTTGCCATAAAGACAAGAAACAAATATGAAAGGATATGAACAGTTGCTAATTCTGGGATGGTAAAAACTGGAATGTTTTATTATTCCTCAAAATTTTCTATATCTTTCAATGGCCTCAAAAGTTTTAAAAAAAAAAAGGAGAGAGGCAGGAGGAGAACCAGGAGAGAGCAAAGGCTATTTCCCCAAGGAAGGAGTGGTGGTATGCATGGCTGCTAAGACTTCAAATACAATGAAAACTTTAAAATGTCCACTGGATTTAATGTCATGGCAATGGAGTGCTGGGAATAGAAGCCAGACAGGAAGGACAAATGAGAGAGAAGACAGTGGCAACAGTGATCATCAACAATCCTTCATCTTTGGAAGAGAGGAGAGAATACTGAAAAGCACAGAAGACCCCAGGAAGGCTTGTTTCTAAGATGAGAGAGACTAAAGCCTGTTTACACGCAGTTGGGGAGATGCAGAAGAGATGGAGAGAGCGGGGCAGAATTTCTGAGACTGTGTAAATGATCTGAAAACAGGTGGAGGGTTTGGCTTCAGATTGGAGGAGGGAACTGCCTCCACCCTAAGAGGAGATAAGCAGGAAATGATAAGTATAGAAGCAAGAAGTACCCACACGATGGACTCTCTTTCAGGGAAGCAGAAGACACAGAGGGTGAACTATCCAATTAGGGGATAAAGTTACAGACTAACTCAAAGAAAGGGAAGATGATGATGAAGCAGTTTCACGAAGCAAGTCAGGTTCACGACAGAGTGTACAGACTGCTTAGACGTGTGCTTGGAATGTTTTTCTAGTAGGTTTCAGCTGCCAGATGCAAGAGCAGAGAAGGAAGGTATTTCTGTAATTTAGGACTGGTTTTCACTCAGATGGGTGTGACCAAAAGAAAGAGGAGTCACAGAGTTGAAAGCGTTCACCAGAGAGACAGTTATTATGAAGCTCTCCTGGACACAGAGGGGAATGAAAGAAGCAGGGACTGGATGGATGGAAAGAATGGCAGAAGGCTTCCTGCAATTAGGGTGAGTGTGGGGAGGTGCGTGGGCAAGTAAGCTGGAAGGAGAGTCCATTGTGATTTAAAAGAGAGGATGTCAGAATTAGTGATTTAGAACCTGGAGCCTTTTCTGATAATAATGAAGTCCTGGAGTGGGAGGTAGAGGGGAGGAAGACCAAAGGACAGAGTAGATGAGGAAGGCAAAAAGCTGAGAAAGCAGAGGAGTGGTTAGGTGGGTGCTCACGCTGCCATGAATGGTGACAGCTGGGGGGACAGATAAGAGGACAGCAAGCCTGGTGCCAAAATCTTTAAAAAGTGGGGTAAAACAAGGTCTGTGGACAATAGTACCGACGTATTCACAGGGCACGGCCTCCAAAGGTCTGAGAGTTCTGGGGAGACGGAGGAATGGTCTGACAAGCACCAAAGACACTAGCGTCCCTTCATGATACTAACTTCACTTTGTGATAACGGCCTGTTTGTACAAACTGCACTCCTCATGTAACTTCCAGGAACACCCACATGGAGTTGAGCAGTAAGTAAGCAGCAGCAGACCTTTCCTCCAAATTCACTACCCCATTCTGTGGGAAAGCTGCTGTAGTTCAGTCGCTAAGTTGTGTGCCTTTTGTGACCCCTCAGACTGTAGCCCGCCAGGCTCCTCTGTTCATGGGACTTCCCAGGCAAGAATACTGGAGAGGGCTGCCATTTCCTTCTCAGGGGAATCTTCCCAGACCCAGGGATGGAAACCACCACTCCCACATTGACCGGTGAGTTATTTAGCACTCAGCCACCAGGGAGGCCGGTGGTAAAGCAGAGGTCAGATCAAAGAGCTAGATGGGATCTTTAAAAGAATCCTGAGTGAGTTCACCTTTTCATTTCCTCTTCCTCCATCATACTTTTTCCAGGTGATGTGGGGGAAAGCAGGCGTGGTCTTCTCAGCACCGAAGAGGAGTTACGATGGGCTAGCTCCCAGCACTGACACAAAGCCAGCCCCTTCTTTCCCCCGCCTCCGTCTGACCCCTGTAAAACGGTGGTGGGAGGTTCGAAGTGGAGGATGGCAAGGATGACAATGACGCTAGTTAAACTTTATAGATGCTAGTTAACCTTTATCTCTACACCCCCGCGGTTTACACTCTCCATCTCATTTAATTCACACAATCCCTGGGAAGAAAGTCATAGGGAGTCCCCATTAACAACTGAGTACGCTGCTCCAGAAAAATAAGTGACTGCCCCCAAGGTCACCACCAGCTAGTAAGTTACCTAAAAACAGCCGGCCCCCAGAAACTAACGCTGTTCTCACTCCACTTCAGGCCACTTAACTACTAAACAGTCCAGGGTTTCTTCTAGTCCTAACGCTTGGTGATTCTTTAACTCCCATTAACTTTCTTTCCCTGAAGGGACAGGGTAGACAGCAGACTTCAAAGGCTCTGGAAGGGCAGCGGTTTTACTTAAAAGTTAAGGCAGACTTCTGGGAGTCAGTCCGCGGAGCTCAGAAGGGGAAATGACGTCATGAGGTTTCTCAGGGCAGCTCCCCACAGGTGCTCCCCCGAGGGCTTCGGGAGCGACACAATAGCTGGCTTTTCTGCCAGCTCCCCGGGAGCATCTCTCCCCTGGCAGGTGGAAATGTCATCTCACCTGGTCAGGACGACGGGTGCCTAATTGGATGGAGAGACTTCAGATCTAGTCCTTGCCAGGAAGATTCTGGGTGGTAATTCTCAGCCACGCAAAAAGTTAACTCAAATTCTTTTCTTCCTGTATTCTCTAATTTTAAATTACGTAAATTTAATCTCTTGCTTCTTGGCTCAGCGTTACTGCAAATTAAACATGCAAGTAATAATGAAAATAATTTCCCTTTAAAAACATATCTTGAAAGTCGATGTGGGGCATTTCCAATATATCCATAAAACAAACAAGGCAGTTTAATTGTTTGTTTCTCCAAGGGAAGAAGCTAAACCCGGAATTAATTTGGTTCAGCCTGTGAAACAATTCGTTTGCTCTGCCTCATTCTGCCAATTAAAGAACTTTTCCCAGACACAATTAGCATGTAAACCAGGGGCAGAAAAGGAAGAAGGCGCCTCGGCGACCCGGCCGGGATGGAAACCCCCGGCGGAGAACCCCGGGACGTCTTGGGCCAGACATGCGGGACCGCGCCGGGGACGCACAGACGAGCTCGGGACTGAACGTCGAAGAGAATCGAGCGGTCTCGGCTAGTCGGGCCCCTTCCCCCGGGTCCGGACCGGATTCGAAAGGGATGTCCGCGAGCCAGTCGCCACCGGGGCTGCGGGAACGCGCAGCCAAGCCCACCGCCCCCACGCCCCCACGCCCCAGCCCCTCCTGGAGCTGGCGCCTCGCGCGGCGGGGACTGCGCGCGCACCTACGGCCGCGGCACCCCACCCCCACCACCGCGGACCTCTGGCGGCTTTTGCCTGCGAAAGGTGGGGATAGCGGCCCCTGCTGGCATCTTTGGCGAACAGCAGGGAGACGGACCTTTTCCCTCAAACCATTTTTCTCACCTTTTCTAAATGGTTTGTGGACAGTATCTATACTGTTGTCACGAGTGCACTTATTTTATGCTTCATGAGCCCTCATTAGCATGCTTGTGCGTATTTTAGTTGCCTGTACGAAAGGCAAAAAAAAAAGGGGGTGGGGGCGGGGGGTCTTATTAGTGATCCTAGCCCCAATCAGGGAACAGGTACAATTTCTAATGCATTTATTTAAGGGAACTCGGCCTAAGGGAGACTGAGACCCTGATCTTCCCAGTGCTTTTCTCGGCTGAACCCATAGCTAGTAAATATTGGTCGGAGAACTGCTTGGCCCCCCGCGCCAACCAATTGAGAAGCCCTCCTTGGGGGGGGGGGGGGGGGTATCGTGCTCCTTTGCGGTCTTTGCGGCCAGCAGGCAGGGAGCGCGCAACGGCCGGGACAAGGGGACGTCGTGTAGTCTGCCCAGTGGGCACAAGCCTTGTAACTGCAGGACTTTGGGGCTACTGAACTTTCAAGCGAACCGAGGAAGGCTGTGTCTGCCATTCTCCTCAGGATGGTAACACAAAAGCGCCTTGGAAGAAGCTGCGATTTAGTTATTCCATGAAGCTGTTGGATACTCTTTGGAATTGTGTGTTATTTCTGAAGTTTACATAATTATTTCTAAGAACAGTGTACCTACTTTCTAAGTTTAAAAGCAGATCGTCGCTACCAGCCTTCCTTGCACTATAGTTAATTTGCTTACTTGCTCGCTTCAGCAGCACATACACTAATTTGCTTACTTAACATGCTTTATTAAGGTGTGTTGAATGTACGTTAACTAATAGCTGAGTTCATATCGTCGAAGTGTATTTTTAAGTGTACCGGTTTCTATCCAACTCATCTGGGTGCGCAGAGCGTCCGTCACTTCTGGAATTTACCTCTTGATATAGTAATCAGAAAGGCTCGCCGTTCACTTACCCTCATCCTTTAAAACTTTTCCATTTAAAAAAATCGATGAACAAATCCTTTCTTGTAACTTGCTCCTGCACTACGTCTATTTTTATTTATTTTTTTGACTTGACAGGGCTCGGCAATGCTGTCCGAGATTCCCCCCTCCCCTCGCAAGAGCAAATGCGGGGGTGGGGAAGGCACCGGCTGGGCTTCTGCGGGTGTCGCCCCCGCGGGGACCTCCGCCGAACGCGCCGCGGGCGGGCAATACTGGTGGAAGGAAGCGGCGCTGACCAGTCGCTCCGAGGCTCCACCTGCGGCCACAGCGCGTAGTTTCTCCCTCTCTCCGCCTCGCTCGCTCGGGTTCACACACAGAGACCGCAGCCCTCCTTCGGGTCGGAGAAGACGCCAGCCAAAGTAGGCGGGGTTGCAGGAGGAGAGTCCGCTTTGCGCAATCCAGTCCGGGACTTGGCTCCGCCCTGGAGCGGCGGCCTCTCCGGTGACAGAGGAGTAGTGAGCGGCACGGGGTGAGGCTGCAGCCAACTCCGCTCCCCGCGCACTCGGCTGCCCAGGCGCTCCGGACGCAGCAGCAGCGCTTCTCCGCGGGGCCGACCGCCCGCGATGCCCGCTTAGGAGCGGCGGTAGCGGCCAGCACCGCCACACCCGCGGCGTAGCGCTCCCGGTCGTGGAGCGGGGCTAGAGCGCGCACCCCTGCCCCAGCCCCCACCCCGCCCCCCACCCTGAAATGACTTGTTAATCGGCGCAAACACCACCGAAGGGACTCGCCGGAGTGGAATCCAAGTGGAATTTGGATTTGGAGAAGAGTTTCTTGAACATTTCCTCCTTTCTTGTTGGTTTTCTTCTTTCTTTTTTCATCTCCCCTTCTCCGCCTGTCATTGGAAATGAATACGGCGCGTTTGCATCCCAGAAAGTAGTCGCTGCGACTATACCCCTACGGAGACAAGCACCCATGTAGGAATGACAAAGGCTTGCGAAGCAGAGAGCGCAGCTCGCGGCCCGGAGAGATCCCCTCGATAATGGATTACTAAATGGGATACACGCTGTACCAGTCCGCTCCGAGCCCCGGCCGCCTGCCCGTCGATGCACCGAAAAGGTACGGCTGGGGCGCCCTGGTGCGCCCCACCTCCCGGGCGGTTCCGCTCCCTCCTGCGGGTCCCGGGGCCGCGGTCCGCACACCCTGTCTCGGCTTTGTGGTGCTTGCGTTTTATTTTGTCTTGCGTCTGTCTTCCGAGCGTTGCCCGGCCCTGGGGGAGCAGTCGCGAGCCCTGTCCGCCGCTCCTCTCCGCCCTGCGCCCCAGAGACCTCGGGGCTCCGCGTTGTGAGCTTCCCCACTCGCGTCGCGCACACGCCAGGCGCCGCCCGGGACCCCAGCCGCGCGGATAGCTCCTTGGCCCTGGGAGGTGTGTGCAGTACCCCTGGGTGCTCGTCCTCACTTTCGGGCCAGCAGGCAGCAGAGAGGCCAAGAAAGGGTGAGATTCTCCGAAGCGCCCGGTCCTGGTGCGAAGGCAGGGGGAAGGGGTTCTACCCTCGAGGGCTGGAGGAGGTTCGGTCCAAGAGCGCTGTTTTCGCTCGACACTAGGTTTGGGTTCGAGGTGGGAGGAGGGGTTCCACAGACGCGGGGAGATTGGGGGGTGGGGGAAGCAAAGGGAGTCTTTTGTTGTCGGCGCGGGGTCTGGGCTGGGTTCAGTGGAGTGCGGGAAACTTGTAATGGGCCTGGAACCCGCGCACCCTGCCTCTTGGTGACATCCCGGCTCCCGCGGCCGCTGGGCACCAGAGGTTCCGGGCTTTGTTCGCTCGAATGAGTGGCCTCCTCCCGGTGTGGCGCGGCTTCCCCGCCCTGGGTCCTATTCCCCGCCGCAGCTCCCTCCTGGGCGACGAAGACAGCATCTGTGGCGTCTGCGTCCCCCTCGGGCACCGAGCCCCGTGCCGGGGGCTGGCGCCCGCTGCGCCCTCTTCCAAACACTACGTGGTCCCTCTTTGGAAAGGAGGTGTCCCCAGAGGGGGAAGGGTGGGAAGACCTGGCTAGAAATGGCTCAGTACTTGCTAACCAGACGAGACCTCTGCAGGGGCCCGGGGTTCTCGATTGTCCGGACTACTTGCTGCGTCTAGAGCGCTGCCTCGCTGGCAGTGGGGCGCTCCGCTGCCAACCCAGCCCGACAGCGCCCACCCAGTCTGCATGACCCCGCTGAGATGGGACGTGTCTTTCCCCCCTCCCCCAGATGCCCTGCTTTTTTTCCCTCGGCTTCCCACCGTATTACACGGTGCATGGCAGGATCCCGTAGTCCGTTCCCTCCTTCCACGACCGGAACGGTAGAGGGGGAGCCAGGGAGCAGTCCTAGACTTGTGGGTATCGGGAAAGGAAACAGGATTCCGCTGTTTTTCCCGCTCCCTCGCCGCCACCACCCCTCCGCCCAGCGTCTCCTCCTCTTTTTTTATTTTTTTATTTTTCCTGCACGGGGTCACTCGACCAGGCACTTCTGGAAAGTTTCTCTGAAGGCCAGAGATGGGGGGGGGGGGGCACGTGAAGCCCGCGGGAAAACGAACCCCCAGGAAGGTGGACAGACCGCCCAGGTTAATGACTAGGAGGCAGGAGCCAGGAGCCAGCCCCTCGGAGAGTGACACCCAGACCGATGGTCAGCTTGGTTGGGGTCGCGGTGCGGCACTTGCTGGACTGGTCTCTCAAGCAGTCGAACAAGGGGTGGGCGTGGGGAGGGGCGAGAAGGGGAAGTTTCCCAGCAGGACTCGGAAGCTGGGTCCAGCCACTGTGGACAGAGGCTGGCGCGCGGGTGCGTGTAGACACCGGGCGGGGATCGCTGGCTCCAAGCGCAGCATCTCCAGGGTCCTGCACCCCGCTCGCCGTTTTCCAGCCGGCGGGTGTTCAGCGAGGAGCAGAGCCGGGAGTCAGGTGTGCGTGGAGCCACGGAGGCCCCCGCTGTTTTCGCAGCCGGGGCAAGCACTGCCGAGGGGCCTCCCCCTGCCTGTATTGCAAGGAGCAGCCCCTCCGGCCAGTCCGCGTCGGTCCTTGGGAGAAGAGAGGTTTAGTGAAAGTGGTTACCAGAGACGATCACGGTGGGATCTTGGGATCGCGCTCTGCTTGGACTGGATGAAATCAAGTAGCAGCTGAGTGTGATCCATGAAAGGTTGCAAACACAGGCGTGTGAACACACACACATACAGACACAGACTCTCTCACATGTACGCCCAACTTTCTTTGCCTCCAATCTGAAAAGACATTTAACCCAGTGGCAGTGTCCTGCCAGCAGGTCTCAGGAAAGCTATTTAATGCCCCCCAGCGCTGACTCTTAAGTCTTTCCGGGTAGGAAGGTCGAGTGCTTTTGCCTTGCGTTTCTCTAATCCTGATAATTGTCTGGTCTTCTTTCAACATACCTCTTGGGCATTAAGTCCACAGACTGCCACTCTGATGACAGTGAGACGATTGTTGGTTCCAGATAATATGAATCTTTATTAAGATATTTTTTCCCCCAAAGTAAACGTGCTGGTACATATTTCTGAATGGAACATCTGATTTTTTCACACCCTTTCCAAATGACTACAGAGGTCAAGATTGCAAGTATTTTGTATGGTTTTTTAATACCCTGTTTAGTCTGCATGGAGCAGTTTTTATAGTAAGCTTTGATTAAACTACTCCAGGCATCAAAGTTAATTATTAACCTAACCTTAAATACAGTGGCAACACTATGTGTCTCCACCTATTAACCTAAACTATCTGTTAAAAAATAATTGCACTATTTGAATTTGGCTTACCCATGCTTGCTTATATGGTAACTTTTATTTGACTCTTGAGTAACCACTACTCTCTATTATTATTTTGGTTTTAGGACCTTCTTAAATGAGGTGCTTTGCAAGTCAATCTGAAAGCAGAAATGAATAACCATCAGATTTAAACCTTTTCTGTGTTAGGCATCCTAGTTCATTTTTCTTATTTACACTGTTTGATGGCAATCTTCCCTAAGTGTTCTGTTTTGCAGTTATTACCCTTTAGAGATGGGCCACCCTCTCATAATGCATTTAATGTTCAACAGACACCTAAGATCATTATCTCAGGGGCTACCTGCAGAGTATACTGATTGGATAAAACCATCTAAGTTTAAATAAGTTAAAGTTTCATAAGAACCAGTTTAGAAACTCAAGAAAATGTTGAATGAGTAAAGGAAAGAAACAGTCCCAAATGGGTCACATGTCTCCTCTTGAAGGAGACCTGGGCACGTTTTTTTCCCTGCAGTGAAAAAGAAAAAAAAAATCTGTGCCTTTAAGTAAGTGGTTATAATAAAGTGGCAGTAAGTGCAACTCTTTATTTACACACACAGACACACACACACACACAAGAACCCCTCAAGTTCTTTCAAAGTCTAGTGACTGCTTTTCCCATCATTAAAAAAATATAGCATTTGCATTTCGAGGAGGTGGATAACATCGCCAGCCAAGTGTGTTGAATCAGAAGGATGGCAAGAATTAGGAAGACTGTTATCATCATTGAATACAAATAAGACACCCAAATTAAGAACTTGTATTAAATTCGGAATAAATCTTCCTGCTTTTAAAGGCAAATGGGTAGTTGCATTCCTTTATGAAATTGAAGGAAAAATACTGTTTTGGACAAGGAGGTAAGTCAGATACTTAAGGTTGTGTACACAGTGCTTCAGCTTTCTTCTGAGCAGGACAAAAGAGTAATGATGGGAGAAAAAGTTTTTTTTAGAACTAGATTGCCAAGAGCTAATATATTCTCCCATCATATTTGTTTGCAGAAAGGAATCACAGAACAAGCCAAACTAATTGCAAATGCTTTAATTAGGCATCTGCCATTTGCAGCAGTAGAAAGTCTAGGAAAGTCTGCACGAATCCCTGCACTGCCTCCCGCCCTCCACACACACTTTAAGTTCATCGCCCTCCTCCCAGAGTGTTCCTGGGTATTCACATCTCCAGGGGAAGCCTGGAAGCCTCCTGTTGGGACCTCCCAGTGTCCCCCACTCTCTTGGGGTGCCCTGGAGCCAAGTTGTCTCTGAGAGATTTCTATTCCAGAGTGAAGGCTTTTCTCCTCTGCCTTAAAATGTGCTGCAAGAGCAACTGAGCTATTTCTCTACTGGCAACCACACAGCTGCCTCTTGGGGATATGGGAAGGTAGGGAAGGCAGGGAGGCATTTAATCCCTTTGAAATGGGTGAGTAAGATGTCATACCACACAAACCTCAAGGGGGGGAGGGAGTTGAGGATACTTCTTAGCCTGAGACTATTACAGTATAGTTTATACACAAGGGTAGGGTATCTTGCCTTGCAAAGCAGATGAGTGCTTGCAAAACCTTTTTATTAGAGTAATTCTAATTACACTAATGGAGAATGTCATATACAACTATCAATACTCTGATCTTTCCCAAATAACCCCTTCAGCACAGATCTTTCTCCTCCACATATGCCTTTCTTATCATCTTCTCCATCTTGGTAAATGGCAGTTCTAGCCTCTGAGTTGCTTAGGCCAAAAAACTCAAGAGCTATCCTTGACTGTCCTCTCTCTGATGTCTTCACCTGTTCTCACCACCATGTTGTTGGCCCCACCTGCAGAGAGTATGCAGACCCCTTCCAGGTCTTCTATCTCAGCGGCCCTCGCACTGGCCAAACCCCTGTCTCCACCTGCCTGCCGGGGGATCTGCTGGGCTAGCCTCCCAGCTAGTCTCCCACCTTTGCTCTGTGTCCCCTACAGTCTTTTCTCAACACAACAGCCAAAGTGATATAAATTTTTTAAAGCAAAATCTCATCAGGTTATGTGTTTTCAGATGCTTTCCCATCTTATTCCATCAAAGCCAGAGTCCTTCCTATGGTCTTTGTGGACCCACATGACCTGCACTGGGGCCGCCGCCTTTCTGACCTCCACTCTTCCTTGGGGTCACTTGAGCATGCCCCCTCCCAATCCGGCCCTTTGCAGGGTCTTGCCCTTTTAAGGCTTGGGGCATGCCCTTGCCCAGAGAGCAGTAGAATTTGCTTCTCCTGTCCCCCTGCAGGTTCTCTGCTCACATGTCGCTGTCTCAGTGAAGCCTTTCCTGATCATCTTTCTTTACCATTTTCCCCCCAACACTCCCTA